GACCAGTGACGTTCTCTGTAAACCCACATGCACCATAAATGTGCTGTATCTAGCTCTAGGCCGTACCTAGAGTATCATTAGTACTCGGAAATAATATATATTTTTTAATTAGTTTCGAAGAAACTTATGACATATCAACTAGATTTTCAAAGGTCATGTTTTCCATATTTACTTAGCAAGGCAATCTGTTGCCCAGTGACAAAGCTTCTGACTGTCCCCGAGTGCGCTGAGGCTCAGAATTAATTTGCTGTTGCCTCCCCAACCAGTCAGCCCTCCTTTTCAGGACCCAACATGAACGCACCTACAGACTTTTATTTCAGTGGAGACTTTCGGCCTGAAATCCCACTTCGGGTGGGAAAAATTTAAACCTCAAACCATCAAACATAAAGTCCAGAAGCCTCTACCTTTTTATCCACATAAAAGCCCCCAGACACATTGAGAATAAGCCAGGCGGTGAGCGGGGTTCCACTCTCGGGTCTCTAGGAAGGGAGAGAAGCAAGCTCCAGTGACTGACAGCCTGACTTGGTGATTGCATGCACACACTCACTCACACACTCACACACTCACTCACTCACACTCACTCACTCACACATACTCACACACACACTCACACACACTCACATTCACACACACTCACATTCACACACACACTCACACACATACATTCACACACTCACACACATACTCACATTCACTCATATTCACACACTCACACACATACTCACATTCACACACACTCATTCACACACACACACTCACATTCACACGCACACTCACACTCACTCTCACACACTGTCACATTCACACACACTCGCGCGCACACACACACACACACACACACTCACACACACACACACACCTACACACAGACTCTCTTTACAATTTTCCTAAGAAAGTTCAACTTGACATGCAGGATATCATAAGTCCATAGGAAAAACTATGCCAAAAATAAAATAAACCTTTGAATCCTCTTTGACTGGCGTTTTTTACAAAGTGCATATTCGAATCTGTACGCATTAACTGCAGACAAAAATGTACTTGTATTCTATAAAGCTGGTATTAATGAAAACAGCGGTGGTTGGGCTCCAGCCATGTTTTGGGGTTTTTGAAGAATCATCTCTATTAGAAGCCTTCAAAACATGTTTTCTTATTGACACAGGAAAAGTTTACTCATTGTAATCACTGAGTCTTCAGGATCAGAAAATTACTGCACTGGGGTTTTTTGAGAGACTCTATGGCAAGTTTAGATCTTTCTCACGAGGACGGGAGTGAGAAAGATACTCAACGAGGCTGGCTGTCCAGGCGCAGACGCCTGAGTATTACCCAAAGTCAATGAGGAAACGTGCCTACGAAGCAAACCCATCCCCACACACGAGGGAGGCGCACTCATTTAAGGAGTCCCAGAATGAACTTGGTCCCACGGTTTCCTGCAGCTCATCAAGTAATAATGATCATCTCGCTTAGTCACTGGCCCTTAGTATGACTCCTTAGTCATACCTACAAGGTGGGTACTATTAGCCCCGTTGTATAGATGGGAAAATCGAGGCCACTGCAGGGGGTGACTTGTGCAAGGTCACACAGCAGCACAGGGGGCAGAGCAGAGATTCAACCCAGTTCAACCTCACTCCAACCCCATGCTATGAGCTCTGAATCTCTATATTTTGTTACCTCCCTGCTTTGACTCTAATGACTTCCTGTAAAAAAAAAAAAAAGTTTTCCTCTTTGACAAACTGCGAAAGCTCCTGGGGTAAGAGTCTGATCAGATGGAGCTTCTGGAATCCTCTGAAAAATAACACCGAGAGAGGTCTGCCTTGCTTCCCTGAGGGGTCCCACTTCTACCCCAGAACTCAGGCAGGGATTTCATACCAGGGATTGTGGGCCCCAGTCCCCTGTCACCAGAGGCATCCGTAAACTACCTCACAGAGAGTGGTTTTTATAAAAACTGAGAGTATGCAAACAAACAGGGGAGAAGTCATGCAGCAGTCAACTGGAGTTTTGTCCTCTGGGCAGGACAAAAGCAAGAAAACCCATTCTTAAGCTCCCCCGAGCACGCAGAAATCCCTCAGTTCCCATGGTTTATGGACTTCCCAGGGCATCCTCTGTCACCCCATCCCAGCATCCCGTTTCCATGACAGCATGGAGCCTCCGTGGTTTCTTGCCTTATGATCATCCCACACACCTCCTAGCCAAGAATGGCAGAAACGATATCCTCCCCACCCTTCCACTTTTGAAATGGAACACACACACACACACACACACACACACACACACACCCCTTGCTTTTAGCTAATAGCTACCTGAAATTAACATTACATTCCTCACACACTCCTTTGCAACGCCGTGTGGGCATGTGATTAAGTGCCAGCTAATCTCACAGAAGCAGGAGTATCTCGTGGCAATTTCCACGGGGGGGGGGGATAGCGTCTTTCTTTACCCTTTCCTTCCTGCGGGCTGGAATAAGGATGCGATGACTGGCTACCCTGGCATTCTTCTCGGACCATGGGGTCATTGTCATGCCTGGGATGATGGGGCAGAAAACTGAAAGGACCCTGGGGCCCTGGGCTCTCAATTCCTGACTTCAAGGTGAGAATAGAACCTTATGTATTTTCTAAAAAACGTGGATCCCATTTGAATTCGATTCGCTTTAAGAGGAAATATGTGGTGCCAAAAATACTCAGATAAGGAACTCCTCAGGTGACTGAGCAGACCTGAGGACGGCCTTCCCTGCTTCCTGGATGGGCCCACCCCCTCTCCTGTTCCTACCCACTCCAGCCCAAATGGAATATGCTGCCAAAGCCGTGACCGGGGTGACCAGACATCCACAGCTGGATTGTGACTCTCACCTGGCAGCGGGTTCCAAAGGAAAGCCAGCCTGCAGCCCCAGTCTTCTCTCTCTCACCCCGGCTGTGCCACCTTTGGGGAGGTCTGGGGACAACCATAAGGGCGGATATTTTCTCAGTGCTGACTCTGTGCTATGCTCTGGTCCCAGCGCCTTATATATTGCAACCACTTTGAGCCGCTCAGCAACTTTTTAAGGTAGAGAACTGCTGTTGGGCCAATTTTATAGATGAGAAACCCGAGGTGCTGAAAGGCTAAGGACCATGGCTGGAAACTCAAATGCCAGGATTCAAAGCCACAGCCACAGGCTATGCATATGCCCACTATCCTGTGCTGCCTCCAGGGGAGAGGAGAAAACGAAAGGTGATAAATAAAAAAATAAAATAAAATAGGGCCCCCTACTCTAAAGTGGCCGTGTTTCCTTAGGACCTTCATTCTGCTCGATGCTCACGACACCAGAAAATTCCTATCATTTTTCCAGACTTGGGAAAGAAGGATGTCCTGCTTCAGATGTGTCATCATCTGCACATTCTGAAGTGACTTTCCAAACCGAGCACCCCTGACCTCAGCAGGACACAGACAGAAACGGATTCATGGAAGTGAAAGATGACCTCAAAGAACTTCCCTGCAGTCTGGCCTCAACATGCCATGGCATCATCCTGGAAAGATCGTTCTTTGATCTTTCAGTCAGAGAAAGATCCACAACACAATCCAACCGTGTGCACCAGGACCTCAATGGTTGGGGCTTGGAGAGTCCTCCAGTGCAGTGCATGCAACTGGGGGTCCCAATCTTGTAGGATACGCTGGACAGGCCTACGGGGGTCGCTGGCTGAGCCGGCCCTGCCTCAGCTCTCAGGTGAGAGGACGCAGGGGTCTCCGAGGACAGCAGTGCCATTGCGTGGAGCATTCTGTGCACCTGACAATGCCACCCACTCGCAGGGATCATTCCACTTTTCCTGGAGGGTGGAGGCAATATAACCAAACTGTCTGTCCGTCAGTGCCAAGTCCCATCTCAGGCTCTTCAACACTCAAATGCTTTCCTCTCCTGATCTGAACCCAGCGCACCAGGTGCTCAATTTGCCTCTAAGACACACCCCAGAAGTGTGATGTCCTTCACCAAACTCAACCACACCTACCCTAAAATTGGGGGTAGGCCTTTCCAGCCCAGAAGCTGCAAACCCAGGTGCCTACGGGGGCCAGAAATGAGTGAAGCGGGCCTGGCTGGGATCAACGGAGACAAAATGGTGATTGTGCGTCCGGCTGTGCAAACGGCCCCTCTCAGCTCCAAAGGGTTGTTGTAACAAGAAAGTGGGGGCCAGCTCTCAGCACACGAAGGCGGAGATGTATTTGAAACCTCCCAGTTCTAAAACATTGACATCCAATTCAAACACCATTTGACAGCCTACAGGCCCAACAAGACTCCAGGTGCTTTGGCCCTGGAGAGCAAATTTGCAACCGGAGACAGGTGAGGCCACCTGACACGAGACCACCGCCAGGGTGGGCCTCCCTGGCTCGCGTCAAGGACCTCAAACCAGATGTGAGGACCCAGGAGACTAGTCACGGGGAGGCCTTCCCGTATCTAGCCAGAAGGCAGAAGAAAGGGCGGCTTAAACCAGGATCTGAGAGGCACCCCATGTGGAAATACCTCCTTCAAAGAGCCAGCGAGGAGGCCCAGGGGACAACCACAGTCACCACTCTAGGGGATACACCATCTGCAGAGGCGGCAGCCACCTGCGGAGACCTGTGAGGCGAGGGAAGAGGCAGGACCTCACTGTGTGAGATGAGGAAGGGCAAGAGAGCAGGAATTGGGAAGAAGGGGTTCTCCCGGGAACCCACACACACACACACACACACACACACACACACACACACACACACACTTCCTCCCAAGGCCGAACTGACCAGGTCAGTTTTAACTCTCCCGGTGCTGGGAAGGGAGAAAGGGGGGCTGCCCAGCTCCCCTGGCCTTTCCTGGATGGAGTATCACTGCCCATTTACACACACCCCTTAAAAGGACCTTTCTGTGGTGATGAATTCCTAGCTTGGGGGGGGGGTCACTCGGACAGACGCGATTCCTTCACTCTGACTAACTCAGTCACTTCTAGAAAGTCCCTTGCACCATCTCTTTCCACAAAAGGCAGCCCCGGAGCCCGACGGCCTACCTTGGCACTGGAATCCTTGCTTCCCGAAGCCCCTGCAAAGGCAGAAGGAGGCAAGTCAGGCAGCCCGAGGGGCCCAGCCACCAGCTCACTGCCCCACAGTCACCCGTCCTCCCCGCTGCCCCTCAGCCCAGGTGCAACCTCCCAGCCACAGGCGGGTGCCCGAGGGTCTTCCGCTTTGGGGGGCAGGGGGGAGCTGGGCGCTATCCCCCACCTCGCCTCCTAAGGCAGAAGAGAGGAGGCTGCGACCACCAGGTGGCGGGTTAGGGGAAGCGCTTCCTCCGCGGTGGGGGCGGAGGGCAGGCTGGAGACCTGCCCGCGGAGAGGCCTGCGTGCCCTCGGGAAAGGAGATCAGATAAAGGCTCTTGGAAAGCGAGGAAGAGGGGGCCCCCGCCGCGGCGGTGTTCCCCGAGGGGCTGGGAAGGAGAGGGGGCTCTGCTTGCCTAGAGGGACGGGGGGGGGGTGAGGGGGCCTGCAGCCAAGTGACCGGGGAGGGCCAGGGAGTGGAAAGGGGAACCCAGGCCCTCAGGGAGGCGCCACAGAGACGGCAGGGGCCCTGCCCCCCGGAGACACAGGAGCCAAGGATGCCCGCGCCCGCAGACACCCAGGGCGCTGGCCCCGGAGGGGAGAAGAGGGGTGCGGGCGCCTGGAGCCGGGAAGGAGGCGGCCAGACAGGGAACCCGGGGCGAGAGGGCGCTCGGGGCGCTGCCCTCCCGAAACGGACAGACACTGCGCCCTGAGCGGCCCCGGGGCGCTCCGGAGGCGGCGGGCGGGCTGGGAGCCGGCAGGAGGCGCCAGGCGGCCGGCCGTCCGGGGCCGGGGCTGAGGGGACCCGCGGGGCCGGCCCCCGGGGAGCCCAGGACGCGGGACCAGCGCGCTGCTCCTCCCCAGGGGGCGCGGAGGGGTTCCCGCGCGCGGCGCAGCCCCGGGGCCCGGGAAGGCGCCCCGAGCCCGCGCGCCCTCACCAGATGAAGTCGGTGCAGTGGCTGCAGAAGGTGGGCTGCTTGAAGAAGCGGGCGGTGAATTTGTGGTTCTTCACCTCGTGCACGTTCTTCTGCCGGAGGGCGCCTTTGCGGGCGAAGCGCACGGTGCTCTCCTCGCCCTCGCCCGGCGGCGGCCCCGCAGCGGGGTCAGCCATCTTGCGCGCGGGGAGCGGGCGCCGGCGAGGGGGCCGGCCCGGGGCCCGGGGCTGCGGCCGGGAGGCGCGGGAGGAGGCGGCCGCTGCCCTGCGCCGGCTCTGGCGGCCGCGCGCGCGGAGCTGCGGCTGTCACTCGCCCAGCTGCCGCCGCTCGTCCAGCTGCGCTCGGCACCGCTGGCCTCAGCTGCGGGGGAGGGAGGCGGGGCCCCGACAGGGGCCCGCCCCCTTCATTTGCATCGCGCCCAGGCCCCGCCCAGCGCCGCCAGCTGCTTTACATATTGGCGCCCCGCGGCTGCCAGCCTCGCAGGGAAGCGCGCTCCGCCGCAGCGCTGCGGCGCGGGCAACGCAGCCTGGCTCGTCAGACCCGAGCCTCGCCCTCTCACGCGTCCTCGGCCCGGGGTGGCATTAAGGAGACGGGAACCTGGGGTGCGCCCCGGGGGACCCGAAAGCTGAAGGACCGACGGGGGCTGGGGGTGAGGGGTGGAGGGTGGATCGTGTGGGCGCGACGGATGCCCACCGCCGAACTCTGCAGAGACTGGTACCCCTTCACCTCCATCCCTTCCATTGGTCACTCCGCGCGCGTCTCGTGGAGGGATGGGCTCCCGCTGTCACTCATTCAGAAAGGCCTGAGGCGCCACACACTTAAGTATCCGCACACCCGTACTGCAGAGGTAGGGAACTAGGGATCTTTATTTTTACATGTGTAAAACTCCGCCACGAAGGACAATGCTCGGTTTTGCTTGCCCAACCAACTAGAAGAGAACGCCCCACCTTGGGCCCGTCCCCTCCACAAAGAGCATCAGTTTCCTCAACTGTAAAATGGGCTAATGCGGGGGGGGGTGCCCTAGATCCCTAGTTCCTCGACCTTATTCACTCCTGACCCATCCTCACCAATGCTAGTCATATTTGTGTAGCATCTGGAGAAAAAGAAAGTCTTTGTGGCTTCTGCGTTTGAATAGCAAGAGGTATCCATACTGTTAAAATCTCTCCAAGTGCTGCCAGCTGCCCCAAACCGCTGCATCTGGGCCTGCCTTTCTTTGTTAAGGAGGGAGATTCACGAGGGCTAGAGAGATGATGTTAAAGACACATTAACATCCCACTGGAGCTGTCTCCTGGATGGGAGGGTGGAAATTACCCAGAGTAACAGCTGTCCAGGGCAGAAACGCACTGTGACTTAGCACTGCTCCCAAACAGCCTCACCTGCCCCCACGCCCCACTCTGGAAAGGCTGCACTGCATCAGGCTACGAAATCCGCTACCCCTGGGCTCTGAGAGCAGGCGCTGCTCGCTCACCCCTGTGTCACCCAGCACCAGGCTCAGCGACTGACATCTCCTAGGAGCTCAATGAACATCAATTCAATGAGTGTGTGAACACATGCGTCACTGAAAAATGAAAGGCTCGCACCCCTTCCAAGCCCCACCTGTGTCAGGAGGTGTTCGGTGATGACAAGCAGCAGGTGCTGTGAGTGTCAGGGACTTGACTGCCTTATTCAGTCCTCCCAGCAACCCTGGGCTGGTCTGATAACTTTCACTCTAGACAAAGACGGTGAGGCTCCGAGTGATCAAGATATACACCCGGCCGAGTGGCGTGATGGTTAAGAACTGGCTTGGGACGCCAGAGGGCCCCGGTTTGGATCCCACATATGGGGGCCTGTGACACTGCCCTCTACAGCTAAGATGATGAACAACAGCTCAACCTGGAGTTGGGCTGCCGTGAGTTGCTGGCGATGGCTAGGCTGCAGCCCCTGTGGCAGTGGGTTGCCATGGGCTACCGTGAGCGGGCAGCAGCCAGCGTGAGCGGCGGCCGCAGTGAGCGGCAGTCCAGAAGTCGGCGACTGATCTGCCTCGCCTGGGAAGAGCACAATGATGGTGCCAACTTGGGCCAGTGAAGCAACGTCCTCCACAACTAGACTGAAGAACAAAAGGACAGCAACTTGTCTGTTCCCCTTCCCCCAGTTCCCCAGCGCTGTTCCCATCCCCCCAATTCGCAAATAAAAATCTTTTAAAAAAAATAAAATAAAATAAATAAAATATATATACCCCAGGTCCCAGGTTGTTGGGTGGTGGTCAGGTCGGCCTAACTACAAATCATACTGGTGATAAAGGGCTGAAAGATGGAAGGATGGAGTCAAAGCAGCAGCCCTGAGCTTGTGCCTAAGGATGCTCAAGTCCCGCTATGAGGATTTTGCCTCATCACCTGGCATGTGAAGAGCAGAGCCTGTCATCATAGAATGTCCCTCCCCACACAGCAATTCAAAGGTAATGAGGGAAAAAATAGCATTCGCTTTTGAGGCTGACATGCATGTTTGGGAAACTGGACGTGCTGTCTATTATTAGTTCTGTGAGAGGCCCCATCCCCTCCCAGGGAGGCTTGGGAAAACCTCCCAGGAGGCACTGCGCTGAAGTAGACTTCCTTTGAACCGATGAGCTGGAAGCTCGCAGCCCACATCCTGCCTTTGAACGAGGTGCACTGGATGCCTTTGCTCTGTAACAACAAACAGCCCCTCATGGGGCCTGGGCCTGGGGATCAAGGGCTGGTGACCAAAGCGGGACCTGGGGGACCACAGAACTACTGGATTCCTGGAGGGGCTGCACCATCTGACGACGACGCAACACACATCCCTACAGGGCAGTGGTCTCAAACTGGTGGCCCTTGAAGACATTTTTTTAGCCAGCCCAGTGAATTTTTTTTTCTTTTTTTTTTTTTTTGGTTCACACTGGGTAGAATTTTACCTAAATATCCACATTCTGACTTCTTTAGGGAAAAAAAAAAAAATATATATATATATATATATATATATGTGGCTAAATATGGCTACATGGAGCCTGCATTCCTCTACTCACTCATTCATTTGTTCATTCGTTCAGCAATGAGTTTATTGAGCACCTACTATGTGCTGTTCCACACATTGTCAAGTAACACAAAAAAAGTCTCTGCCTTCATAGAGCTGACAGTCTAATGGGGAACAGGGACAATAAACTAACAATACTAGGTGGTGTGGAGGTATCTGCTGTGAAGAAAAAGAAAGCATGGCAAAGGAATGAAGAGTGACAGCAGCCAGGGAGATCCTTTATCAGGGGACAGAGGCTTGAATGAAGTAAGGGGCTGAGCCGGGGGGGCTACCTGAGGGTAGAGTGTTCCAGACTAAGAAAACAGAACATGTGCAGGCCCTGGGGAAGGGGTGTGCTTGGCATGTTGGAGAAACGTCAGGAGGCCGCTGTGGCTAGGTGGACAGAGAGGAAGAAGGAGCAGCTACAGGACACCGTCAGGAAGGTGGCTGGCCTTGCAGACGTGGTAAAAATGTTGGGGTTCACTCTGGTGGATGGAAAGCCCTCGGAGGGTTGAGAGCAGAGGAGTGGCCTGATTTGACGCCTGTTTTCTTTAAAGATTACCCTAGAAAATGTGAAAAACAGAATGCAGGGGAGGAAGAGTAGAAGCAGGGAGAGCAGCAAGAGTGAAGCAACGCGTCACATACAAGGGACCCCCAAGAAGGTGATGAGCAGATGTCTCATCAGAAACTTGGGAGGCCAGAAGTCAGTAGACTGATCCACGCAACGTGTTAAAAGGAAAAAGAAACATCAACCAAGGATCATGTAAATGGCAAAACTGTCCTCCAAACTGTGAGAGAGAAACGAAGACATTCCAAGAAAAATCAAAGTTTAGGGACTTTTTTTACCACGAGCCCATCCGAGCAAGAAATGCTAAAAAGGAGTCACACGGGTTGACACGACAGAACATGAGACAGTAACTCAAAGCCATATGAAGAAATAAAGATCTCAGTAAAGGTAAACATATCGGCGATTAGAAAACCTAGTGTTGTTGTGGACATGGCTGGTAACTCTGCATTTTGTTTTCTCTGTAATTTAAGAGACGAATGCATCATAAAAAAAAACATTATTAGTTTATGTTTTGGGACACATCATGTACAAAGACGTCATTGTGTGACATCAATGACTGAAAGGGGTGGGGACAGAACTGTCCAGGAGCAGAGTTCTGTATGTTGTTAAGGAAAGCTGGTACAAATTCAAATGAGAGTGTTTTCACTTTAGGATATTAAATGTAATCCCCATAGTAACCACGAAGAGAATAGTCGCACAATATGCACAAAAGGAAATGAGAAGGAAATTAAAATGTTTCACTACAAAAAAAAATCAGTTAAACAAAAAAGAAGACAGTAATGCAGGAAATGAGAAATAAAAAAGCTAAAAGGCATAAAGAAAACAAATAGCAAAATGATACACGTAAGCCCCTCCTTATCACGAATTACTTTACGTGTGAACTCTCCAACCAAAAGACAGGGATTGGCAGAATGGATTTTAGAAATATGTTCGAACTATATGCTGTCTATAAGAGAATCAGTTTAGATCCAAAAACACAAATAGGTTTTGAAAACGAAAGGATGATGAAAGCAGAATCTGGAAGAGATATGTCTACACCAATGTCATAGCAGCATCATTCCCAGTAGCTAAAATGTGGAAGCAGCCCAAGTGTCCACCAGCAGATGAATGGATAAGCAAAATGTCTCTACATACAGTGGAGTATTATGCAGCCTTAAAAAGGAAGAAAATTCTGGCACATGCTACAACATAGGTGAACTCTGAGAACATCATGCTAAGTGAAACAAGCCAGTCACAGAAAGACAAAGATTGCATGATTCCACTTATAGGAGGTACACAGAATAGTCAAATTCATCGAGATAAAGTAGAATGGTGACTGGGAAGAATGCGGAGTTGTTGTTGAATGGGCTATTGAGTTTCGGTTTTGCAAAATAACAAGGTCTAGAGACAGTGGTGATAATTGCACAATGATATGAATGTGCTTTATACCACTGAACTGTACCCTGAAAATGGTTAAGTTTATGTTATGTGTATCTCACCACAATTTGAAAACTGAAGGGAAAGGTAAATGGATTAATTGATACAGAATTTCACTTTGAGAAGATGAGAAAGTTCTGGAGGTGGGTGGTGGTGATGGCTGCTCAACAGTGGGAATGAACTTAGTGCCGCTGAACTGGACACTACAAATGGTGGTTTTCATTTTATGTTTTGTATACTTTGCCGTAATAAAAAAGTAAATGAGAAAAAACTAATATTGATTAGACACTCACATGGAACCAGTCCTGTGTAAACACTGTGCATGCCTTGGTGTCCTGACTGTACAATTCCTGTATTACCCACAGACAAGAAAACTATTGTAAGTTGCAAAAGGGTTTTGTAGCATGTAACTTGGAAAACATG